GCCGAGTCACACCCTCTGCGCACTCTCACTAGAAGGACATACTACTAGAGTCTCGTCGGGATAGCTAAGCCGCGCAAGATACATCCTATGCACACAATGGGCGAGACTAGGATATCAACCCATTTTTCTTATCTTCTAACCCACTTCTCTTTTTCCTCAAAATAATTAAATAAAATAAATACATATATATTATAAAATATTTTTCTTCTATAATAATAATATATTTCTGACCCAAAATATAATAATATAATTTCAATAACAAAATATCATATAATATCAACCTTCTCTTAAAACATATAAATATTTATTTAAAAATACTAATAAAAATACTTATTTAATACGTACAAAATAATTGTCTAAAACAATAATTATTTAAAACGTACAAAATAATATTCCTCTATAATTATTAAATAATTATGAACAAATACCATCTAATAATAATAATAAAAATAATAATAACCTTTTTGAAAACTGGGCTGTTACAACAAGTGCTACTCAAGGATTTACAATGGTCATTTTCAAGATCACTTATATAAAAAAGCTTGAGCCTTAAAGAACAAAATGAGAATCAACTATCATACTTATTCATTCTTTATAAAATCTCTAAAATTATTTTGTACCTAAAAGTTGTATTATGTCCTGTGAGTAAGATGATTTCTTTCAATTATCTTTACCCAACTTAAACTATGTGGTTTAACTTGAAGTCTAAAGAGACTTTGTTGTTTAAAGAATATTTGGTGTTGAAGCTTGAAGAGGCTTTATTGTCCAAAAAATTACTTGGGTAGTTTTCTTAAAGAGATAAATCAAGGAACACTTCAATTGAGTCAGAAGTGACTTGTGAAAAAATACTTGTATCTTTGAAAAATAATGGAACTTGTTCAAATTGATCAAGAATTTGACCTAATCTTGGTGATTGAGATAAACTCAGTATAAAAATAATTTTTGTATTTTCATGTACTTCGTTTGCACTCTTTTAGGCCTACATTACTACTTCATTGTTTCAAAAAAGTGTTAAGTTTTTAATTGATACTATTCAATCTCCCTTCTAGTGTAATTTTTTTCTCCACAATAAGTAATTAATAAAATATGATATTCAACCCAAACATAGTATAATGTCTTTTTGTTACTATATAACTTCTAATTTTAATCTTATGAAAATAATTTAGTTTATTAGGTTCGAGAAATAATAAATATAATAAAAACCTTGATGATTTTCTTTGGTATTTTATAAAGGAATGGGTTGAACCGGTTACATAATCAATAAATCATATATATGTATGTGAAAGTGTAAAACTAAAAAAATATAGAGCATAATGTACTTCAAATACTTTATGCAACATTTGAAATAATAAACATCCTCATCTCCTAAAGGTGAACTCATAATCATGTACCATAATGTATCATTGTATCTCTTAAAGGTGAACTCATAATCATATACCATAATGTTAAGGTGAACTCATAATCATATATCATAATGTATCTCAAGTTTAAGGATCGATCATATATGATGAATGAGATTAAAGAAATAATAATCACTTAAAAATCTCATGTTCTTTCTTTTTTTGAGTTGAGAACTTGCTACTTTTGCTTTCTTAGTACAGTATTGAGGAGATCATGTTGAATCTTTGGTGGAACTTGCGTAGGGTTACATGGATAAGTCCTTTAGGATACATTTGACGTCTTAAAAGTCTTGATTAGTTTATGCTTTCAGTATCCATGGACAACATTAAGTCTCCTAAATATGAGGTAAAATTAACTTTAATCTCATAAATTTACAATTAATCTTTTTAGTTTATTCAATTTTTAAGAAAATTGTTTCTCTCGTTATGTAAATGTCAATAAATCTATCACACATAATTCATTTTCTACCAAATAAGGATGAGAATAGGTCACACATTTAATAAGAACCTATGGCCTGGTCTCTTTAAAGTTTGGTCTGATTTGACCTATTTAATATAAAAAGGCCAAATTTAAACTTTTAAAAAAACCTATTTGTATAAACAAGCTAGGCTTAGGCTTATAAGAAAACCTATAAGGCCTGACATGTCAGTTTATTTATTTGTATAATATAATAAAAAAAATTAATATACATATATTTTTAAAAATATAAATAAACAAATGAATTTATAAAAATATAAATTAAAAAATTAACAATATTTAAAATATTTTTTTAGAAAATTTTCTTTTTCTTATTATAAGTTTAAAAACTTATGACCTGTGCGTGAGTGTACATCAACATACATGACTAAGCATGAATTATCCCTCCAACAGAAAATAATTTACTTTTTCTCCTATATTTTATTTAAAATTTAAATTTTATTAATATTGAGTAAACTATATTTTAAAAATAATTTTATTTATATAATATAATAAAAAACAATGTACATATATTATTAAAAATATATATAAATAAATAAATTTATAAAGCAAAAATAAATTATCAATATTTAAAATATTTTTTTTATACAATTAATTTTTTTATTTTAGTTTTATAAGCTTATGATCTGTGTTTGAGTATACATCAACATACCCATGAATTATCCATTCAACAAAACATGATTCACTTTTTTTCCTATATTTCTTTCAAAATTTCAATTTTAACAATATTGAGTAAACTATATTCAAAAAAGAAATTTTTTGACTTTTGAAAAATTAAGTTTATTGGTATAATTAACATTATTAATATAAATAGGTTAATAGACTAAACCAGACTTTAAAAAGATCAGGACATGTCTAGAAAAACCTATGATAGATAATAAATTAGACTCAACCTATATTCAAAGTCTAACATAGCATATTCTCATCCTTACTTTCAAATATAAATTTATCCTTTCTTTAGAAAAATATTTTAAAAAATTACATTAATTAAAAATAATTTTAAATTTAAGAAAATATAAATTATTTACTTAGAAATTGAGAACTATAAATATATTTAAGTTTATTATTATTATTATTACTATTACTATTATTATTATTATTATTATTATTATTATTATTATTATTATTATTATTTCTTGCCATAACCATTAAATTTTTCTAATATGTTCTCTCAATATTCTAAACAATGATACTGAGATACTGATGAAAGTGTTGCAACTAAATTACACTTAAAAACACGACACAGTTTGAGTAGAATTGAATTGGATGAATTTAAATAAAGATCTAAATTCAATTTTTATATATCAAAAAGTGATTGAGAGCAACTAAAGCTAATTAATTAAATTTGTAAAAAAAGAATTAGGTGTATTTCAATGTTTTTAAAATTAAACGCATTATTAAATTGGTCTAGATATAGTTCAAAGTCTGATTATTTAATTAATTAAATCATGATTAAATTGATATTAATAAAATTATTATTATTATTATTATTAATACAAAATTAATATAAAATAATTATAATATTATAATTTTATAATATTAAAAATTAAAATAAAATATTATTTATAAATTCTTAAATACGTAAAATTCTAAATTATATATAACATAATATTTAAATTTTTAATAAAATATAATACTGTCTGTTAATAATAACATATTTCCATCTGACAAAAAATTTATCAAATTAATATAATGTAAATTATAAAAAAAAAATATATTAAAGATTGCAATTCACATAAATCATTAAATTATATTTATGAAATAAGTATTAAAAAATTATTCTAATTTATAATTTTTTATTAAAAATATATTAAAAAAAAATTAAACTGGTGCCGATTGATTTAATCTTTTTTATTTTTATTTTTTTTTACCGATTTTTACAAGTTCTAGATGGATCACACTTATTTTTTATTAGTTGTATAGAGAATGATTCTCTAAATCAACTGAATCCATTTAAGATTAGTTTCTAATCAAACCAGTCCCACCACCCATTTCTATCCGATTTTGATTCACGCGTGAAATTAAGAAAATTTGGGATTCATCTTCAAATATACGACCAATGGTTAGCCCAATTTTGAAAGAAAAAAAAACATTAAAGGTGATCTCATTATTTCAAATTGAATCTTGTTTTTAAAAATAACAAGTTGGGCCCAGGTTGCTTTTTTGTGGATGAAATTATGATTCCCTGTGTTGCTTGACGACCCATATAAGTGCCTAAAACTGTTGAAGCAATTGAGAAATGAAGACAGTTGAATACAGAGAAATTCTTGTTGGGAGGAGGTATGCCAATGTTACCTATGACTTAATAAAATATCAAAAACAAAATCATTGTAAAAAAGATTTGTTAAAATACTTAGTGATGTATTTTAAGATAAATCTTAATTATAACTTACTAATTCACTCTAACTAAAAAAAAATAAGTCAATGTAAGCAAAGCATATCCTACCAGTATTTGTTAATGAATACTTGGTTTTAGTTAAAATATGATAATAAGTTGCACCATTAATATATTTTAAATAATTCTTTGTTATAACTGGTTAATGAACAACTCAAGTGAATATATGTTAAAAATTATTTTATATCTAAGTAATTAAATTGAATTTCAATGATTCAATTGTTAAATTAAAAATTTATAATGAATAGATTATGTCTACCAATTTTTCTAAAATTTAAAAATTATTTGATATTTCATTATATGAATTTAAAGTAATGTATATTTATAAAAATATATTATATATGTTGATTTTTTTATCATTATTATACTTTAATTTGAATTTATATAATATAATATCAAATAGTTTATAATTTTTTTAACTTTAATAATCTAATCGTTAAATTAAAAATTATTAATATATAGATTAAATTTACAAATTTTTAAAAAAAAATTGAAATATATTTTATACTTCTATTTACTAATTTAAATTAACAGATATTTATAAAATATTTTATACGTTAATATAAATTTAAATAATAAAATATCATATAATTTTTCTAACTTAATGTATATAATTTTTTTTTAATATAACAGTTAAATTATTTTTTTATTTTAGAAAAAATAGTTAAATTATTGAGATTTATTATATAACATGAATTATTAAATAAAATAATATTTACTCTTAAAATAATGAATTCCTTCCCACTATCTATATATATATATATATATATGGTTCCTGTACAAGGGAGTCACCATCACATAAAATGTGGAGAGATAAAGTGTCACTTTTTGGTGTAAATTGAAAACAAAAAGGATGCCTGTGGACATTGCATAAGCCAGTTAGTGGCTAGCTCTGGACTTTGTCAACTCTTTTTCACAATTAATAATAAATAAAAGAATTGGATTCCTTTGGAAACCTCTCATTGGCCTCATTTTGTTGACCTTTGAATTTTGCCTCTCCAATTTGCTGGCGTCTAGTGTAGTTGCTCAAATATTCCACTCTCCAAAACCTCTTCTTCTTCTCATCACACAAAAAATGTGTTTAAAACAAGGTCACCCAGTTTGTTTGTGCATCTTTGTATGCTGATTTGTTTGACTAGATTTTATTGTTGAGAAAGCTGAAGCATTTAAAGAACACACTGTAACCAGGACCAATATGGCTGAGCCTGTATAAGTTCCTCCTTTGACTAGGTAGCACTCACCATTCAACCAACCAACCCTATATGGCTGCCTTCTGTTCATGCTTGTGGCTGCAATCAATAAAATAGCTGCAAATCCAAAGCTTGCCCTGCCAAACATTCCCATTTTGGGCCTTAGAATATACATTTCAAAGGCAAGAAAACATAATCTCTAGATGAGAAATTTCAGCTCACTCTCTAATACTTTTTTACTAATAATTTTTTTATTATTTGTTAAGAATCATAAATTTTAATAGATTTTACCATTAAATGTCTGCAGTGCTAAATGAGATTTTTGAACCCACAAAATTTGTTATTTTTATTTTAGCCGATAATAATGAAAGATTGAAAGTATTAAGAAGAGAGCATAACAAACATTTCTCAAAATATTATTAACCTTTTCGAATAGGAGAAACGTTTCTGGTTCTCCAAGGTTAAATCACAAAAAAATTATGGTCTACTACTTTATGTGGTCTGCTTTCCTAAAAGTGAAACATTTTTCCAACCTGTTTCCAATAATGGCAGGCCACATGGCGCACAGATTCCCATTGTGATCCAGCCTTTTTCAATTCAGTAAAATAAAGCAGAGGAAAATTCAATGCTATTTTTTTTTTCAGAATTTAATTGCAGAAATCAAAATTGTATTGTCTCAATTTGAGTAGCAAAATGATGATCTACATAAGATAATAACAAATTAATTAGCTTTGTTTTCTCTATCTCTAATTGCTATATGTGAATTAACAACTTAACAAACATATGTGCAAGAGATTTGATAACATACCAAGATATCAAAATCAGAACCTTTGCAGAGGAAGGAATCTTGTACTGGGATTTACTTTTGCTTCTCCAACAAGAATAATTTAATAATATAGAATTCCCAATGATCATGGCAAGAAAGACACTAACTAAAGCTGCAATCCCCAATCCAAATGCCTTGCTTGATGGCAAATAACATAGTTTCCCATTCCACCTGAGATCCTCCTCCTGAAAAACAAACCAAGCTAAAAATTAATTAGTACCCTTTTCAAATAAAATAAAAAAACTCTTGAGAGCCTATTTAGGTATAAACTTAAAAACATTTTTGAGAGTTTCACTATTCGAAAATACTCTATTTCCTGTGGAAAAACTCTGAAAAGTGTTTATAACTTATATTCAATCAAACTCTAAATGAAAGACTAAAAATTAAGCATTCACACCTTATTCCTCTTTATCTCAGCGGCTATACACAAGAGAAAGGAAATTAAGCCAAGGGAGAGGGAAATGATGATGAAGAAGATCACTGTCGATTTGAATCTAGGAGGTTTTTCCATGGTTGTTTGTGTGAAGAGACTTGAGAAGAGAAAATAGACAAGTAAGGAACAAGTTTTGGAACCTTCTCAAGGTACAAAAAGATGAGTAGGTTCTATGAAGGTGTTGGCCATCCCCTTTTTTCTAGAGTTCCTTCCTTTTGATGTTTGAGACTTCACAACAAGTCTACCCATTGCTTTCAAGGATACCATTCTTTGTTGAATGTGAGCAGATTTTGGAAAATTCTTGTTTGTTGAAACTATTTTCGTATCTGTGGGAGCTGGTCAAATTCTCAAAATATATGAGAATCTTCACTAAGGGTGATAAGATTGAAAATGTATTCAAATTATGCATATGAACAATAGTTAAAAAGACAAGGGAGGTTGGTTTAGTGGTTGAGGAATCCAACCTTGTCCCTTCGAATCAATGCTAATCAAAAGCATTAATATGTCAATGATCCAAAATGACTTTACCTTGCATAGTGTTTGAATGGTCAACTTTGGGTTACCATAAGTTAGGATCTTGCTCTTCTTCCTCTCTCTTTCCTTTTCTTTGCGTTGACAAGGGAAGAATAAATTATAAGAATCTTTGAATTCTCCAAAGTAATTAGAGAAGCACTTTATTCCTTGTTATCAATTATATATCCAAATGATGTTTTTAGTCATTTTTTAATTTATAATAATTAGGGTAACGTGATTGATATGATTTTGATGATTTAAATATTCAAATTCGTCCTTTCAAAAAAATATTCAAATTCGAAGTGTAAACATATTTTCTTATTCAAATTAATTTATAATCTGATTCAAATTTATAACACGTTATTCGATCAGTCAATCCAACATTCCATCCATGAATATACAATTAATTGATTAAATATTGAACCAGCAATATATTAATAAAACATATTTGTATTATTTTTTAAAAAATTAATTTTTGATTATTTATATATATATAATAATTTTTACTTTTACTATAAATATGGTATGCTATAAAAAAATCAATTACATTATTTCTTCACCAATAAAATCGCCCAATTTTTCATAATCAATAAAATGATAATCATTCTCTTCAAAATAATTATATTTACTCATTTTATATAGTATTATAGGAGACAATGTTATGAACGATAGCAAGACATGGAAGTCTTTAATTTTTTCTCTTATTTTCCTTTAATAATTAATTTTTATCATATTTAATATTATGTTATTTTTATCTTTCTTTTTTCATAAGGATATGTATAATCATAGTCAATTATATATATAAAAAGAGGAGGGTTCAAACAACATTAATTTAACTTTTACTGACTATTATATCACTTAATAATTTTGTATCAAATATGAATTTTTCAAAACTTAATGTTAGATTAAAATTTTCTCATTCCTATGTTATATTGATCTAAGATGATTTAATACTTCATTCTTATAGAACAAAATTAACGTAATATATATGTTTCAAAATATACTAAAATATAAACATTTTCATTACCTTTCAAAATAAACTACAATGTTTAATTTTAACAAAATTTGATATAAACATAGTTGATATGAAGTTATAATTCAACAGTTGGATTGACAAAATTCACATTTAATATAAAATTATTGATTGATGTAATAGTTGAAAAAGTGACACCGATGTCATTTGAACCTTCTTCATGTATATATATATATATATACATATATATATATACATATATATATATACATATATATATATACATATATATATATACATATATATATATACATATATATATATACATATATATATATACATATATATATATACATATATATATATACATATATATATATACATATATATATATACATATATATATATATAGGAGTAAGTCTATCTATATTTACTCCATTCAATAACTCATGCTCTATATCAAATTTCAACAATCCAACTATTGAATTTAATATTTTTAATGCATATTAAATCTGTAAATTTTAAAGAATTTAAAAATCATTTGATACTTTTTTTCATTATTTCAAATCAATGTATAAAATACTTTTATGATTATCATCAATTTGAACTAATGAAATGAAGTATCAAATAGTTTTCAAATTATTTTAAAATTTATAGATTTAATCTATACATTAAGAACTTTAAATTTAACGGTTGGATCATTAAAATTTGATATAAAATATGGCGCAGGGAAGGCAAAGACCTCCCTAAGGTCTCGCGCCCAGCGCAATTCAAATTGCGCCCAGCACCCCCATGGCAGAGACTCCCAAGGAGTCCCCATGCCTAGCGTGACAATGGTCGCGCCCGACGCAGCACCAGAACACCCAAAACCTGTCACATATTGATAGCACGCCCGGCGCGGTTCAAGTCACGCCCGGCGCGGGCCATCGAGAGGCTCACATCCTCAAGCTCGTCCGGCGCACACACCTCTACGCCCGGCGGGCTTGCCCAAATGGAGCCCTCTAATGGTCACGCGCCTGGTGCGAAGAACGGCGCCCCGCGTGGTACCTAGCAGCAGCTCACAAACTTTCGAAAATTTCATCAAACCCTACAAAATCCACCAGAAAACCAACATGCAATCCATCCAAAAGTCCACATTTTCATCAAACATCACGAAAAACACCTCTTTTTCAGCATGCAACCACAAATCATTAAAATCCCCAAATTTTTCTCCAAACCCCGTAAACCCGAAAACCTTAATTTCATCATTCTCAGCCAAAATCATCAAACATCCGACAACTAAGGAGTTCTTAGAACTCTTTTTCAAACAAACCCAGCAAGACCTAGCTTCCCTTACCTCGGTACAAGAATCCGAGCTTCCGGGAAAGAGAAATAGAGAAGAAGATGGAGAACGAACGGAGACCAACGGAGAAGGAGAACTTCAACTAATTTCCCACACCAAAATCAGCACCTAAAACACCACAGCCACCAAAGAAGAGTTCCGCCAGTGAGAATGAGAGTTTAGAGAGAAAAGAGAGTGTCTTGAGTGAGTGAGAGTGAAGGAAGGGAAAAAGAGGGAAGGGGGTCTCACAACCTCCCCAACAACAAGAGTTTTCATCCCAAAAATAGACTTACTTGGGAAAAGAAAAGGATACCTCTCCCTGCACTACTGCTCCACCTCCCAAGTAGCCTCACCATTCGCTGCATCCCACAACACCTTCACTAGAGCAATAGACTTGCCCCTCAACTCCTTCAGCTTGTGATCAACCACAGCTACCGGCAACTTCTCAATAGTCAGGTTCTCCTTCACTCGTACATCTTCCAACTCCACCACATGACTAGGGTCATGAACATACTTCCTCAGCTGGGATACATGAAATACATCGTGTAGGTTTGAAAGGGACGGTGGCAAAGCCAACCGATAAGCAACCGGACCCACACGTTGTATGATCTGATAGGGACCAACAAACCTCGGTGTCAACTTCCTTGCCTTCAATGCTCTACCCACACCAGAAGTCGAAGTCACCTTCAGAAACACATACTCCCCTTCAGCAAACTCCAAAGGCTTACGCCTTTTATCAGCATAAGATTTCTGCCTACTCTGAGCAGTCTTCATCCTCTCCTGAATCATCTTCACCTTCTCAGTAGTCTATAGGATCAGCTCCGGTCCCACAACCACTGACTCACCATCTTGATACCAGCACGGAGGAGTCCTACATCTTCTGCCATACAAGGCTTCAAACGGCGTCATCCCAATACTAGCATGAAAGCTAATATTATAAGTAAACTCCACCAGCGGTAGGACCTCCTCCCAGCTTCCCAAGTGGTTTAACACACAAGCCCTCAGCAGATCCTCCAAGGACTAGATTGTCTTCTCTGACTGACCATCCGTCTACGGATGATAAGCAGAACTCAGCTTCAGCTTCGTGCTTAAGGCTTGATGTAGACTCTGCCAAAATCTAGAAGTGAACCTCAGATCTCTATCTGAAATAATACTGGAAGGCACCCCGTGCAACCGTACTATTTCCCTCACATACAATTGTGTCAGCTTCTCCAAGGACCACTTGATGTTGACAAGCAAGAAATGTGCACACTTGGTCAACCGATCAACAATCACCCAGATAGCATCACTATTCCTAGCCGACCTAGGCAACCCGACGATAAAGTCCATAGTGATACTATCCCACTTCCATTCTGGAATCTTCATCAGCTGCATCAACCCACTCGGCTTCTGATGCTCCACCTTCGCCTTCTGACAGGTCAGACAGGCCGCCACATATTCAGCTATCTCCCTCTTCATACCAGACCACCAGAAAGTCTTCTTGAGGTCTTGGTACATCTTAGTCATACCAGGATGTATGCTAAGTCTACTCTTGTGGCCTTCCTCCAACACAGCTCTCCTCAGCTTAGCATCCTAAGGTAGGCAAATTCTGCCCTTGAACCTCAAGATTCCATCTTCGCCCAACTCAAAACCAACAGCCTTCTCGGTACCCAGCAAACCAAGAAGCTTCACTAGCTCAACATCTTGCAACTACTTAAGTCCAACCTGCCTCAAGAACTCACTAGTTATGGTGGTCATCCCACAATTAATGTGATCCTGAGCTAACTCTACACAGAGATTCAGATCCCTGAACTCCTATACCAGCTCCAGCTCCTTCACCATCATACTAGACATGTGGATGGATTTCCTACTCAGCGCATCTGCCACAACATTGGTCTTACCAAGATGATACATCAAATGGAAGTCATAATCCTTCAAAAACTCCATCCACCGCCTCTGCCTCATGTTCAGCTCCTTCTGATCAAATAAGTACTTCAGACTCTTGTGATCACTAAAGACGCTGAACCGAGAACCATACAGATAATGCCTCCATATCTTCAAGGCAAACACCACAGCTGCTAACTCCAAGTCATGAGTGGGATAATTCCTCTCATGGTTCTTCAGTTGCCTTGAAGCATATGCCACCACTTTCCTGTTTTTCATTAGCACACACCCCAAACCCTAGTGAGAAGCATCACAATAC